ATCAAAAGCAGCACAGGGATTTCCTTCCCCACCTCCCCTCCAGCTGTGCCCCAGCTGTTGGTAGCAGCCTGAGCAGACACTTCCAAACTGCATTGCTTTGTGCTTCAACTACCTAAAGGTGGGAAGTGGCCACAGCCACCCTGGACATGCAGGACTGACACACTGAACAAGGCCACAGGACAACCCCTGAGTTCCTTGAGGAACCAGAGGAAGTTCCCTAAAATACAAAAAAATAAAATTATTAGAGAACAACATGTTAAAACCACAGGTTAAGGTGTGAAACTGCCACCAGCTAAGTCCAAACAGCTCAACCTTTGCTGCCATGGGGCAAAACTCATTGTTTGGAGGATGAGGGAAGGAAGTTTGTCCAGGAAGATACAAAACAAATATGTACAGATCTAGGCAAAACGCAGGAGATCAGGTCTGAAGTGGTTCTGGGTCACTCTTGTCTCACATCTTCCAGTTGGTGATTGGAGCAATCACTTGTCTATGCTCTGTTTCCACCTTCCCCCAGCACAGCTGCCCCTGGAGCATCCCTGGAACATTCCCTTTCCTTGGGGGTTTGGCAAGGGTTCAAATAATTTAAAGAGAAGGAACTGGCTCTTGGCTGCAGCCAGCAAGTCTTTAATCTTAAAAAAAACCCAGGAATTAAGTAGGCAGGATGTGCTCACACACTCCTGGAATGGCCTGGCCCGGGCAAACAGGGGCACACGTCGATGGGTTGAAGCACAACCAGTTGGTTGAAGGTCTGAAGAGGTCCAAGTGCAGTTGCTCCTGCGTCTGCCTCGTGCTGTGAAAGCAGCCAGAGACAAAGGCACAGCAGCTGCCTCTCCTCTCCTCTCCTGGGCTCTGCCCACGGTGGTCCACGCTCAGAGGGTTCTCAGGAAGCTTCTCTTCCACCTGGTGCCTCTACCAATGCCTCGAGTCCACCAGCTCCGGGCGGAGACTGAGCTTCTTGAGGGTCTCATAGCCCACGACGATGACGATGGTGGAAGGAGTTGCCGAGATGATGCGAGCGGAGAGGCCCTTGGTCAGCCCCCAGGGACCTTCCTCTGCCATCAGCTGCTTGAAGGTCAGGATGATGGAGCTCTTGCCTTCCACCTGCAAGGCCAGAAGAAACACTGAGAGCTGCTACATCCCACACTGAGCTGCTCTGGGGCCACTGGAGACTCAGCTCTAGTCCAACGACCTCAGTGTGGCCTCCAGAATCCCCTGAGTGGGATCCTTGGACCTGTCTCCTCCTTCCTCCCACCTAAAGGGGTTGGATCAAGGGGTCACTTGGAGCCGTGTGACATTGCTGGAAGCTCCTCTCCCTTCCCAAAGGAGCTGGGGAAGCCCAAGCAGGCTGAGCTGGCACCACCCTGTGCTGCCTCCTGACACCTCCTGACGCTCCCAGGATGAAAGGACAGGGAGATCCCAGCTGGAAGCACAGGGATCAGAGAGCTGAGCCCCACCCCGTGCTGTGCAGACCTGCCAGGCAGGCTCAGCTCTTACCTGGACCCGAGCCCTGACCACATCCATGGGGTTGGGGAGAGTGGAAGCTGTGCCTGCTGCCAGTGGCCCCGAGATGGCTTGGAGGAGGAGGTGAGGACAGTCTTTAGGAGTCAAGCTGGAAAGTTGCTCTGGGAATAGGAGAGAGAGGAAAGTTTCAGCCTTGCAGGGGTGTTCAGAAGTTCCTTGAAGCCCAGGGTAGCTCAGGTTGGGAGGGACCACAGTGGGTCACTGGTCCCACCTCCCTGCTCAAACTGGGCCAGCCCAGAGCACATGGCACAGGATTGCATCCACAGCTCTGGAATATCTCCAATCCACACCCTCTCTGGTCTCCATGCCAGTGCTCAGTCACCCACACAGGGAAGAAGTTGTTCCTCATGTTCAGGTGGAACTTCCCATGCATCAGTTCCTGTCTTACAGGTCTGCACCACCTTGAAGAGTTTGGCTCTGGCTTCTCCAGCCCCTAACTCCCACTGGAATCCCTGATTTCCAGCCTGCCACCTCCTGCCATGGATATCCAGGTGGTGCTTCCTACAAGAACCCCAAAGCTGGCACAGCACACAGGGAGCAGGACCCAAACCCTCCAGTGGCTCTGGGACACTCCCAGTGCTCCATCCCACAGCTCCCAGCAACATAAAACTTCCATGTGCCCAGACAGGCATGGAAACACTCCACACACCTTTGGGAGGTGTGGGGAAGCTTAAACAAGGCTCTCTCAGAGGTGTCTGCAGAGATGTCACCTCTGGTCACCTGCTGTGCATCCCTAAGGAGCAAAGTGCTCATCCCACCTTTCCTCCCTCTGCTCCTGCTGTTGGACAAGGGGATTGAATCTCCCATCCCTATAGTTGTTAAAGTTGGGCAGAAGACAGCCTCAAAATCCCTGTTTTTGGGGGGATAATGTGGAGGTTGTGCCTGTGTGGGAGGAGGGAAGGAAATGGTTCTGTCTGTGGCCTGGAATACTGATTGGAATCAGGGCCAGCAGTGCCCTTTGAGCCTGAGGAAGGTTCAGTGACCTCCTCTGCTGCTCCAGCCAGGGACAGAGGACTGGGAGGCACAGCCAGAGGACTGGGAGGCACAGCCAGAGCAGAGCATAGATCCCAGTCAGGGACAGAGGACTGGGAGGCACAGCCAGAGCACAGACTCACTCCCACCTGAGGCTCCCATTCCTCATCAGCTCCATTCCCACTGCAGAAAGACATGGAAAGGGCAATGGAGAGCTCAGGGCTGTCAGGATCAGCTGCTCTCACTTCTGAGCCCTTTAGGCAGGAAAATCCTGCAATGAATCCAGTGGATTTTGACCTTGTAAACTGTTGATAAGGAGAGTGAAGGGAGAGCTCAGACTCACTCCCACCTGAGGCTCCCATTCCTCATCAGCTCCATTCCCACTGCAGAAAGACATGGAAAGGGCAATGGAGAGCTCAGGGCTGTCAGGATCAGCTGCTCTCACTTCTGAGCCCTTTAGGCAGGAAAATCCTGCAATGAATCCAGTGGATTTTGACCTTGTAAACTGTTGATAAGGAGAGTGAAGGGAGAGCTCTCACACAGCTCAGGCTGGACCAACATTCCAAGCTGCCACTGCCACTTAAAACACAACATGGACATGGAATCAAAGCTCCCCAGTGTTAGCAGAGCTCTGGGAAGCAAACAGGACATTCCAAACACTTGGATTTTTCAGGCCAGGTGATCCCTAAACCCAACACAGTGAAACCTAAACTGCTCCACCAGCACTTTCCAGCAAGTTCCATTAGGTAACCACAAGCCCCAAACCACCCACAAAGCTGCACAGCAGAAACCTGAAGGATCATTGTGGGGGAAACAAACCTTAGGCTGCTCCATCCCTCCAGACCTTGGGAACACCCTAAGGATTCCCAGAGCTGAGCTGGGGAGGGAGAACTTGCTGCTCAGGGCAGTTTCTCATCACTAGACTTGGTGCCAGGTTTAAAGCTCCCAAACCTGAAGCACAACCTGACAGACATAAACCTCAGGGGAGATTTGCTTTGCCTCTGGTTTGACCACAGGATTTGAGGCTCTGCAAGTCCTTTTGCCACATCTGAGAGTGCACATGAATTGAGAGATGAATCATGCTCACACAGTGGCTCCAAAACTCCACCCAACTCCAGGCAAGAGCTTTCCTCACTCCTAGGCAGGAGCATCACTTGGGATGGGGGAAGAGAAGGCTGAAGTAGACACATCAAGCTCCTCTTGACTGGAGCCATCCATGCTATCTTCTAGTCCTCAGACTCTCATCTTGATCTCTGCCTTTAAACACTGCTGAACTTCCACCCTGAGCTTTACCTCTGCATTTAACCACTGTTCAATTCCACCCAACACCTGCAGGATTCCTCCACGCTGGACACACCTTTTTGTCTCTGCTCCCACCTCAGCAGAGTGTCAGAATCCATCCCAGAAACTCCTGAAATGACAAAACTCCAACCCTCCTCCCACTTACCAGCATAGAAGTGGTAGAAGGGCCACCAGACAGCACTGTTGGGGATGTAAGTCAGCAGAGAAGCCACATAACCCCTGTAGAAGCCACGAAAACCGTCAGCCTTGAAGATCTGCACAATGATGTCCTTGGTTTGCCCAAACACCAAGAGCCTCTTGCCCTCTGGGCTCTGCACCTTGAACCTGCCCATGCTCTCCCCTTTCCTCTGCATCATGAGGTGCTGGGAGACCACATCAATGGGCACAGTGATGCTCTGGGCCACGAGGGAGGCCGAGCCCCCAGCCACGAGGGACTTGACGGCGTTGTTGTTGTTGTAGCGCGCCACGTACTTGCGCGTCAGCTCGTAGGTGGTGACGTAGCACTGGCCCGAGATGAGGGTGAAGGTATTCACCAGGAAGCCTCTGTAGAGCCCTGCAGTCCCTTCTGTCCTCAGGATTTTCACAAAGGCATCAAAGGTCCCGTTGTAGAGGCTCTTGCCCTTCTGCACCTGCAGCCGCGTGCGGATGAGGGTGAAAGGGTAGACGCTGACGCGAATCATCATGGTCATGCAGATGCCAAACACGTAGAACTTCCTCTTGTCCAGGTGTTCCCACTCGATGATGGGGATGTTGCGTTTGTCCTCCATGGCTCCTTGGGCTGGGCAGGACAAGCCCAGAGCTCCCTCAGAGGGACAGAGCAGGTTGACCTCTCCTGCCACTGGAAGGGAGGACACCTGGAACGAGACACAGGGCGGGGAGAGGAGGAGGAGGAGGATGGGGAGGGATGGAGGGAAATGGGAAAGGGAAACTTGGATTAGATATTGGGAAGGAGGCTGTGAAAGGGGTGAGACACTGGCATGGGTTGGCCCAGGGAGGTTGTGGATGCCCCAAGGATGTTCTGGATGCCCCAGGGAGATTGTGGATGACCCAGGGAGGCTGTGGATGCCCCAAGGATGTTCTGGATGCCCCAGGGAGATTGTGGATGACCCAGGGAGGCTGTGGATGCCCCAAGGATGTTCTGGATGCCCCAGGGAGATTGTGGATGACCCAGGGAGGCTGTGGATGCCCCAAGGATGTTCTGGATGCCCCAGGGAGATTGTGGATGACCCAGGGAGGCTGTGGATGGGGAGATTGTACCCAAGGATGTTATGGATGCCACACAGAAATTGTGGATGACCCACGGAGATTGTGGTTGACCCAGGGACGTTC